TGCATCATAATCTCCATAGAGCTCAGGAGCCTTGGCTTTTCTCACCCATGCCGTACAGAGATATCTGGCCAAGTATTAAGAATGGAAATTCCTTTTGGAAGTGCAGTTGATTGGTCTGAGTGGACCTTCAGACTATTGGGACTTCTGCTCCTTGTACTCATGTTAGCATCATATAATATGGGCACAGAGAGCCTCTTTCCTTGTGCCTGTTGTGAGGCATCCCTTGCCCTGCCCACACATCAGAAGGCACTGGGTATCACTGCAGTTGTCTTCCTGTTTCTTCAGTAATTTACACAAACTGTTAAACTGGTAGAGGAACTTTTCCCAGGTTGTCCTGATGTGACCAGACTTCTTCCTTTCACCGCTGACCTCTCTAAACATTTGCTGGGGGTGAGAACCCAGAACTTTCTGGGAACAGCAGGACAACGTGGCAGCACAATGAAGGACTTTGTGACAACCTGTGAGTGCACAAAGCTGCTTTCCTACAGGTTGCTAAAATTCATAGTTCAGTATCTGATGCTTATGGATCCATTTCTTTGGTTGCCCCCTTGCTGACCTGCAGACAATGCAGAGATGCAAAGTTCAACAGCCATCAGCTTTGTAGCTGTTTTCTGGAACAGCCACTTATGCTTTAAATTATTTATCTTTAACCTTTCTCTTAACTAAACCATTCTATTCAGTCACATCCCTTATTTTACACTTTCATTAAGTGAAAGCCAGTATGCTGATTTCTGTAAGAGGTGTTGGAAGTGGTCTCTGTAAATGGAATTAAGGAGCATAAAGTTCTTGGGTCTGTTACCTTGGGATGTCTACAATGAGCCAGAGAAGCTCAGTGCAGGGTGTGTAAAAACATAACAGGATTCTCTGTCACTGACCAAAGCCTAAAGTCAAAGTAAGAACAGTGTAGATCAGTTACCATAAATCATTTCTGGTCCTGTCAGTAGTACAACACATGGGTGGTTACAGTATAGAGCAGAATGAGCCAGTCTTAATTCCATGGCAGGCAGGCAGGCATACAGTACTGTGGACATTAAAGCTGAAACACGTCCATCTTTCCAGGCAGCAAACTCAGAAGCTATGCTAACTGCAAATAAACAGAAGCAGACAAAACCTATTAGATTTCTAACAGATTAGTATTCTGGTAGAGGAACTCTTTCCAACCCCATCCTATTGCAGGCCCCCTTAATATGCTGCCATTGTTTTTTTTTCCATCAGGTTTTGCATTTAAACATGTGGCTGTTGAATTTTCAGAGCTCATCTGTCTATTGCCAGTCTCTCTGTGCTTGCTGGAAATGTAGCTCTTATCTTTTAAATTAGTAGATTCACAGATGACCGTTCTTTTCTTTCTCTCCTAGGATTAGCTGCAGCATTTCCTGTCAAGCACAGATTAAAAGGGCACCTCTTCTCTTTGCATGTGGTACAACAACAATTTCCTCTTACAGTCTTAAAATGCTTCATAGTCCTGTTAGTTGTTGTGGTTTGTGTGATAGACTGGTTATGTTTCACTATGGAGCACCAGATATGTCAGTTCCTGTTATTCTGAGATAAACAATGTCTGCATGCAGGACAAAACTAAAAAACGACCCAGACAGCTGTCAGTTTCTCGTGGTTGTGGTGCAGTTCTGATCTGACTGGCAATCCAAGAAGCAGCAGTGGGGAATCCAAATCTTTGTATGGAGACTTGATGCTATGCATGAACACTTCTTCTTTTTTCGGATAAAAATGTTTTATCTGCTCAGTGTGAGCACAGGTTTATGTTTCTCCTCTTAATAAAATCAAATACTTTGATAGATAGGAACAGAAAAGGCTCTAGGAAGTCAGGGATGACCATTAATACTGTGATGTGCACTGTGTTGTTGTTGTTAGAGTCCTTTAATATCTTTATAAATTTTCTTTGCTGCTTTTGGTGTAGAAGTTCAGTTGTCAAATGGAGCGAGTCTTGAAACTGCAAGTTCTGTAAGATTTGCTTGGATTTTCTGCCTCCTCTTTTGTGCTCTCTGCACTTTCAGCTGCACAAAAAGAATGAAATACAAGTTTTGCTGCCCGATCCAGGAATTTCTGTTAATATTTTTAAGATGTCTGGTTATTCTTAGGCTCGGAAGCACATTGTTTTTTGTTGTTGTTGTTTTTAATAGTTGTGAAACCAAGATTAATTAGGGATTCATGGAGAAATAGATATAATTCTATGCTTACCTAGCAGAAGCTGTTAGTTCTTAGGAAAGCTGCCCTGTGACTTTATCTGTGCCCTGATAAATGAAGGATCAACATACGGTCCCACACTTCGAGGTCAACAATTTAATGACAACACCGGTTACAGTCTTAAACTGTGTGTATGTATTTTGTTCCTAATGACACAGAGATCTTAAACCTTCATAATTCTATTGAAAATAGAATTATGGAAGTTTCAAAACTATTCTAACATAGGAGGAAGTAGCTACTGGCAACAAAATACTCAACAAGAAGAAAATGTAAGACAACTTTGGGTAAAAATGCTGCACATTAGCAGCTTCAGCATTTCATTTACTAAATAATATAGCTTTGTGAATTGTGTATTAAGAAAGAGAGAGTAAATTTAGAAGAACAAGACTGAATTTCTTTAAAGCCAGCATTTCTAGTAACAGAATTTTTTTGCAACAGTTTTCTTTGAACTATTCTCATTTCAATATTAAAATGTCTCCAGACTTTCTATAACATGAATAAAACACTGAAAATGCTCTGCAGACTGTAGTTATATAAGGACTGTCTGAATCAAGGAAATTCATGTATTAAACATATTGAATGTGGCAGAAAAATGCAACAAAGCACTAATGCTCAGAGAATACTGAGTTGTCCTAATCAAATAATGTTGGGGCACTGCTCTTTTTTTTTATTTTTAAGAGAAGAGTTTTTCAGAATCTTTAATTTTTCTCTTCCTGTCCATTTTGGAAACTGCAGTCCATCCAGTCTCTCTCACTTTTCTCATAGTTGCAAGCTTCAGTGCAGAGCTCGGAGCTTTCAGGTTTGATGCAGTTGGTTTCTGAGAAGAAGAACAAAGCCATCCAATAGTTTCTAAAACAAAGATGATCTGCTCTTCATTTTGATCTATATGAAAGGGAACGTACCTGTTTTGGTGTCATTGCATATAATTGTGAAGCTTGTGGATAATCTTTGTATAATTTTTTAAATACTTCTTCATCTGAAACAAGGCTCTTAAATTAAAAACAGAAAGGTTACTTCCTTATACCACATTCAAAAATCTCTTTTCTTTCCCCTTAGGAATGAGTATGAAAAAGAAAGTTAAGATATCACTATGAAACCTCAACAATTCCATAAAAACAATGTAAAGATTCATTATAACATTGGTATTTTTTGTCATAAAGTTACTAATTATTCATAAAATTCCAGAAAGAGACAATTAAATAAGATAATTTATGAGGATATTTTTATGTAGAGAAGCCCAAATGCCTTATTTTACATCCTCAGATACAGCAGTATGCATGAAGAACTGTTAACCATGCTATTTGTTCTGAGTTTTACCAGAAGGTCGCTGTGTTCAGAGCTATCTGACTGAGCATCCAGCTGTAGAAGCACTTTTTGCTTTTTCCTCTGTTCTGAAATCAGACCTGAGCTTTCACTTTGCATTTTATGTACTGGGGGAGTCTTTACAGTATATGTCTGGGAAAAAGATAGTATTTAAAATTACATTTTCAGTGGTAATGATGGAATCCAACACTAAACTCATAACCCAGTTTACAGATACGTATCAAGGAATGATTGCCTTTCCATTCAAAACTTGAAACAAAGTCGTGCACAGGGAAAAAAACAGAGAGAAAAAAAAAGCAGCAGCTGCAGAAGAACTGAGCTTCATGGCACACTGTATCTAATCTTTTTAAGCTTATCTGCAGAAATTCAGTTGTCAGTTTGAACTGTAGTCACTATAGACAGACTATAACCAACGTTCATGAAAATGCAAACAAACAAGTCTGAAGGAGAAAGCTTTCAGAAAGATATTGATAGTGAGTGGCAGCAAGAGCCAGACTGATTTTACTTCAGTGGCTCTTTCACTGGATGTTAAGCAGAAGGAAAAAATAGAGTCAGAGAAATAAGAATGATTCATCGGTGTGAGTTACAAACCTTCAAGGATCGTCTGACCAAAGGACTCTGTAGAAATGCTCGAGGAGATGTTTTTGTACTTTCCATCACGCTGGTTTTTATGGGAATATCACTCTGAGAGAATAGTTTTTTTACATTAATAGATGCAGAGTCCGGATCTGAATGAGGTTTAGGAGTCTCAGAAAAATGAGTTTGTATTTTCTAGAATTAAGAAACGGTTGAAAAACATTTCAGTGCCTTTTGTCCAGAGTGTGTTATTTATCTTATTTAACTTTATATTATCTAACTTCAATTAGATTGCTTATATGCATATTACCAAACTTTAAAATTGTATAATGATGAATCATTACAACTACCTTGTCCTTCTTTTCAGTTTCAGGAGCCCTATTTTTGGAGAGGTCTTTTGCAAGATTCTCCTAAAAAGAGAGGCAGTAAATATTTTATTTGTATTTAGCTATTAGATTTGTTTAGCCATTAAAAATCTTGTTGGTGTTTTACAGAAGTTCACACAAATATGTGATCCAGGTTTAGTTCAACTGCATTTGAAAAATATGACTTTTCTGTTCCTGGTATTATTTCTTATACAACTTTTCCCATTTCTGATGGACAGTTCTTGGGGGTTTTACTCCCTCCACGCTCCCCTCACTCGTACTCAGGAATCATGAAAAACTTTCACCACCAGAAGGCATGGTGACTTCAGAGAGCATTAAGCTCTGATTTCAAGACTGCAAGACCTAGAATCAAGAACTCATTTCAGCTGTCATTGCTGCAGCACGTGTGACTGGGCCAAGCACATCACCCATGGTGCTATATAAAAAAAAAAAAAAAAAAAATCCCCAAAATGCAATACCTTGTTTTCAATTTCTGCCTTAAGCTGTTCCTTAAGGGATGACAGCTCACTTTTCAAACATGATAGTTCAGTTTCCTGAAACCAATTAGATAATGGAAAGGGTTAGGTGTGCTTAACCTGGAAAAAAGAAAACAGTCTGAAAGAGACATTAATTCACAGTGATATTCAGTATAAACAAAGGAAATTCAATTTGCTCAAATAGAGTAGTTTATCCATAAAGTTGGTATGGTGAAAGGTGTCTATCTCACTTTGGGAGTTGATTCTAGTGCTAGAATAACAGATGAACACAGATAGAGTCAACTTTTCCTCATCTAAGAATAAATTAAAAAGATCTAAAAAAAATGTGTTACTTGAGTCACAGTTTCTATAAAAGTAAAGAAATGTTGTATGAAAGGAAATGTCAGAAAAAAGACTACAGTTTAAGTAGCTGTTATAGAACCACACTTTTATGGAAGTCTTGAGGGAATGCTTGCTCTCAGAATATTTCTCAAAGCTAAGTGTTCCAGAAAGGAAAAGGAGGAAAAAAAGTTATGCAACTGTAGACTTGAAATGTTGTTTAAGCTTGTTTTAAAAAGTGATCAAGTATTGTGAAACAGTTACTGTTCAGAACCATCCAAGGAAAGAATTTTGAATATTTGTGAGAAGGGGAAAAAACTGAAAAACTATTTAATACTAAAATTTCATAAGCAGACAGTGAGGTTAAAACATGAAGCACTTTTGAGTGAAGTAGACAGAAAAGCACACAGGTACTGTAATTAAGATGCATTGTGTTGGCCCAAAACAACCCCTCTTTTCTCAGTGTGGCCCAGGCAAGCCAGAAGGTTGGATGTTTTAGAAAAGCAGCCCTTCCATTTCATTCTCCAGCACTGATGAGCACTCCTTACCAAAGCTCTTTTCAATGATGCCTGCTCTTGCTCTTTTATCTTATATAGTTTTAACTCTGTATCTTTTTCTTCAACCATTTTATCATATTCATGCTGTATTGAACCAAGCAAACAACAACAAAAAAAGGACATTAGTCATTGGACTAAGTGTTCTAGATCAATCTAATCTTAAAATGTTATTTAATTTTTTAAATCAATCTGTTCTGGAGCTGCAGGAAGCACTGTGAACAAACAGTGATGCCTCTGCAGAAATAGTACAACAGAAACTTCACAAGCAGTGCTGTGTGTTATTCTGTGGGGCAACACAGAGTGCTTTATCTCTGCACAGTGCTGTGTGCTCCAGTACATAAAGCTGGACGCGTTATTTTTGTTACTGTGATCTGCTGAATGTACAGCAAAACAGAGTAATACAAATGTCCATTGAAATATGCTATGTTATAATGCTGAAGATCGCTAAAGAGTCTCCTGATGGAAAGAAAAAATTGAAAAACACTGAAAATATTGACAAATATTACATTAGGACTACAAAGCACAAACTGTGCTTACAGGACTTTTTAAAGAAACCATTACCACCATCACATCTCATTATTACTGGGAGTTCAAATGTGCCAATAGCATTGTGTTAAGATTCTCTGCAGCTTACACCAATGCAGTTTCTGTGGCAGTAGACATGTTTTCAAAATCTGAAGGTGAATTTCTTTTTAGAAGATGAAAAATCAAGAGTGTTAAACCTCATGCTTCCACACTTGGGTCTCTGACGAAGTTTTACTTTCTAACTTGTAAATTCTGGATTTGAAAGGTTTTTATTTATCATAATGTCCCATAGTAGGAAGCTTACCTTGTGCTTTTCCATAAGTGCCATCATTTCAGTTATCTTGTGTTGACATCGGATATCAGCTTCTCTCTGTGCTATTGTTGCTTCATCAGCAAGTAACCTCATTTTTTCTACCTGTTAGTAACAAGGATCTTTTAATTAATGCAATCTGTATACAGTCCCATTTAGTGAAATCTTCATCTGCTTGGAAGATCCTTTTCTAATCCTGCATCTTCTAGACATTTGTTGAAATGAAAAAATATAGATAAAAATACATCCATTCTTCCATGGCAGACAAGTGTGATTTTGAGCCACGGTGCAATTTCAAACACTTCTGTAACATTTCTTTCATATTCCAATTAATATTTTGATTCCAAACAAAAAAAGCGTGGCCAGGAAAACACTCAAATGAGAAACATTATTAACCTATTTGCTTATTCTGTACTTATTCCAAGAATAGGGCATCTGTGAATAACAGCTTGACAAAAATATGTTTTTAACTGGGTTCTTATTTTTAAAGACATGTAGAGAGTCCAGATTAAAGGATTTAGTGTTCTAAAGCTTTGTTCACTGGCATACACAAGAAGTTCAATTTATGTTTACAAGACTATTATGTAAGTGCAAGGAATCTCATGGATATAGCTTCATAAAATATATCAAGCACTGATCTTACTTCAAACGCTAATTAAAAGATGCAGAAAAAATTAACAACTCTCACCTCTTCAAGTAAGTTATTTTCAGTTACTCCTTTTGCTTCAATTTCTTTTTCATAAATGTCAACTCTTGCCTTATGTTGCTTGTTCATATTTTCCATCTCTAACTGTAGCTTGTTCACCTTTAGAGAGTACAGAAGTATTTTTATTTGTTCAAGAATTAATATGCCAATGGTTTGGTCTTTTTCCATTTTATTTAAGTAGAGCCACTCTGTACTTTTCAGGTATGTGGCTGTATTACTTCCTATTTAATGTTCAGTTTTCATCTTAAGGAGTTGAACTTTGGCCTGAAGAGAGTTAGAAAATACTTGTAGAAACACAACAGGGAAGACTGCAGTTCTTCCATCCCAGTCATCAGAGCAGTCCTAAAACTAGATCCAGCAAAGCACAAAGAATCATTACAGTATAGAGGAACCCCAGCAGCAATCTGACACTGTCCTGCCTTTTAACAGGAGACCCTTTAATATTGCTGGTGTGGAAGGCTGGGTAAGAAAATGAAGCATAATCAGCTGTACAGGCATAGAATCCTAGAGCAGCTGGGGTCAGAGGGGACCTTGAAGCTCGTCCCGTTCCAACCCCAGCTGTGGGCTGGTTGTCACCCCTAGGTCAGGTTGCCCAGTCGGTGGCATTACTGAGTAACGTTCAGTATTCTATCAATAAAATGAAAAGGAAAGGAGCTTATTAGGATCATCATTCCTTGATAAGTGATGTTTCCTGCAAATACCTGACAGCCCTATATCCGATGACTTCCAAAAATCGTGGGCTTATTTAGCCCTCTGGAATCCATATCATCAATCCATAAAACATAGAAGAATGTGCTTAACGTGTTTTATCAACATTAGAGACTTCAGAACTTCAGTTTTTGTGTTTTAACAGCACCATATATATGACACGAATTAAACCTACCTTCCCTTCATAACTACTTGTTTTCTTGCTTTCTGCAGTCATTTTCTTTTTCAGTACCTTATTCTGTTAAAGTGAAATAATAACAATAAAAGTGAATAGGGCTATGAAATGTTTTAGCCTCATACAGTAAGTCTGAATCCCCAAATTCCAGCTTTCAGCAAGCAAATAACTCTCTTCTTTTTCTCCACTTCAGATTGTGGAACAAATCTCCAAATGAAAGTGTTAAACTACTTTAACAATCAGATTTTAAGGAATGAGGGTGTAGAACAAGGAACAAAAACTAAGACACACAGTGTTTCCAGCTTTTGTTCAATGTAGCTTATATATAAATAAATGTACTCCTGTGTTATGCTATTAAGAAACAACAGATGTTGTGATCTGTTGATTCTCAGCAAGTGGTTTGAGAATTTTACTCTGGGAAAATGCTGCTGACAGAAAAATGTGCAGCTGTCATAAAAAGAAATACAAAATTGTATAGTTTTACAGTACAGTTGCTGACAATTTGTCCAAATGCATGATTCTTTTCTAATGAGATGTATATACAAGTATGGTGTCATAGATCAATGATGCCACATGCTAAATGAAAATAAGAAAAGTTTATTAAATTTCTTATTACTGTGATTGCATTTTACAAAAGTCAGAATGATTTTACAAATCAAGTGATTCCAAAGGTGATCCTTCAGTTCTCTCAGAGGTAAGATAAGAAAGGAGATGTTATGAATTACGTAAGTATGCCTGAAGAAATCACACCAGAGGAGGACAGCTGAAGAGCAACCTCAGAATGCCATGTTTTCTGTGTTCAATACTTCTGAAAATGTACTTACCTCCTGCTGTAACTCTTCAATGCACTTTGTTTTGTTTTCCACCTGTTTCTTCATGGTGTTCAACTGAAGGGATATTTCAAACGTTAATTCATTGTTAAAAATGACTCCATGTCTTAGACACTACTGTGAAAGTTCTAAAAGATGCATTTGAAAAGATGTGATTCCAGTGAGACTGAAACAAACGCCAACATGTTATAATGGTTGGAGCTTTTACCATGAATTGCCACAAGAATTTTTCCAGCCACGTATTTAACATCAGCCAATCAGGTCCTCATGAGAAAAATTAATTTACTTACCTTATTTTCTAGCATCTTCATCTGTCTTTCCTTTTTCAGAATTTCATTTTCAATACTCTTAGTCTGGAATTATAATTGTAAATCTAGTCAGAACATTGTGACAACTTTTATACTTTCTTAAAGAAGAAAAATATGTAATTGCAGAATCGTTAATAAATAATGTTACAATTTCAAAGCAGTTTCCTCAAAAACAATTCAGCTGATTCTGTTTTGTATTTATTTGTAAACAAACAAACAAACAAAAAACTAAGAAACCATCCCGTGTCCTGAATACATTATTTGAATTTTATGATAAAATTTTGAAATCCACTGTGATGTTAAAAAAAAGCAGGTGTGCTTTGACAATGGAGTAGGAAAGCAAAAACACTTAAACACATGAAGCTCGTATTACTTACTGAGTGTATGAAAATAATAAATAAAATTAGGCTCTACATTTGCCTAAACTATGGCAAATCTGGACATTCCAGTGAAGGTGCTTGTCTTTTAAAGTGTCAGGGTACATACATGTGTTGATTCAATTGGTAGCAGCACTGAAAGAATAAAACCTCTTTAAGAGAGAACATCCCTAGGTGGGGTTTGCAGAAAAGGAAAAAACAACCATCTAGATTACATCCTACAGGTGATGCTATATTTCAGATGAGAAACCATATTACATTTTCTTCACTTTCATCCAGTTTGCTTTTAACTTCTTCACCTTTCTTTGCCATCTTCTCTCTCAAAGACTCCAGTTCATTTCTAAATGCCAAATTAACAAATATTAGTAAATGTATATTTAAGGATATTACTTTTTCAATGCAGCTTATTTACTATTTATCCATGATTTATTTCCATATAAGAGACATCTATATATAATAGAAAGCAGCATATGAACACAACATTCAGGTGAGCCATGGAGGAAACAAACTACTTCCTTTAATTATACTGTACACTGAGATTTACTTGCCTCAGCTGACCATTTGCTTCTTCCAGGTGTTCTACTAACTGCTTTATGTTTTCTTCTTTTTCCCTTTGATCCTAAATAAATACCCATGTGAACAAAATAAGTAAAATGTGAGGTGACATCTTAATCAGTACAGTGAGCTGCCAATTCACAAGGGTAACTGCACTTATGTTGTGTTTTAAAGAAAAAACCAATTCAGATACTCTACAGAAGTATATCATTGTAGTTTGCTAAATGATTTTTTTTAATATAACCCTGTGCTTTGAAAATAGATGGAAGATTACAGCTCACCTCATGACTTTCCTGCAGTTTCTTGAGTTCTGTAGCCATATTACTTTTCTCTTGTGACATTTGTTCTTTCTCTAATAACAGCGTATTGATATTCACTGTTAGTTGCTCATTCTTTAGTCTAATTTAGGATAAACGGTCAAGAGAAATAAGAATGTATACTTTGAAATTTCTTTTAACATTAGATTTATCTGTTATAAAATGTTACTTCACACTGAAAAAGTCCACGCCTGAATCTGCAAATGCAATCTTTGCAACAAATGTAAAATAGAGCCATAGTAACATGAAAAGGCAACAGGAGGACAAATGGAGATAAGTCAATAGCATAAATAGAATGGTTGACAAGAATGTAGTTTAACATCCATCTCAAAGCAGTTAACGGTGATGTCAGAAACGCTCAAGTCATGTTCAAACAACTAAGACACAGAGATATGGTACAATTAGATGCACACAAATACGTAAAATGTACGTTATAAATTACATAAAGGATGTAATGCTATCTGCAGAAGTTAAAAGCTTTCATAAGAAAAGAATCACATAATTTGGTTGTGTATTAAAGTGACTTCTATGGGACACTGAAGTTGATTAAATAAAAATGATCATACGCCTCTCGTTCGAGATCTGCATTCAGTGATGTGAGTTGTTTCAAATAATTTTGTTCCTTTTCAACTGAACAAGTCAGCTGTACTGTCAGATCATGCAATTCTTTCTGTAGAAGAAAAACAGTATTTTGAATGTACATAGGTAAACCACAGTGCAAGGAAGCTGTCAGAATTGAGCTGACAACACAAAGCTTTAGGATGAAACAAAGCCATAAACAACACAGACTTTATCTTTACATCGATCTGATGTAATGTGGAAGTATTGTGGGACATGAAACTCTGACATGAATGAAAACGTGTCCTCTATTTTATAGCCTAAGTAGTCTGCAAAAGTGCTGACAAAATTACCTTTCCATGGGCATTTAAATGAAGTCAGTATTTCCTCTGACATCGTAGGCTTTTGAATTCTCCATATATTAAAAAAATTTTACCATTATATTTTGGATGCATTCTGGGCTACAAAGTAAAACCCTTCCCTCAAAAATGTGATGTTATTACAGGAGGAGGCAATTATAACTTAGATACAAAGTATATAATTTTATAGTACATAAATGTTTTGAACACTAATTCTGAATAACTAGTGATACAGTGAAACCATATGTACTGGTATGCAGTTAATTTAAGCAAAGAGAGAGAAAGAATGTATGTCAGTGTGTATTTAGTTAAGTATAGCATATAATGAACTTCTGGAATTTCTTAGCACAGCAGGCTGTAGAGACTAATAGCAGGAGCACAGAGACAAACCAGATGAGACAAGTGAACATGTGTAAGTCTATAAATTGATAGCAAAGGGAACTGACAGGGATGTGTCCTCAAATATCCTTTGAATACAGTTACTGTAGGAATGTATGGAGGATGAACCATAGCTGATAACCAGGCTCCTCTGCTACCTATAGCTTTGGCTGTCACTGTCAGAAGCAGAATGCTACAGACCACTGGCCTAACTCTACCTGACATTTATTACGTTACATATACACGTATAAAACAATGTCGTATTTACTATCACCCTTTATTCAGACCTCTCTGACTTGAAGAATATTTTTCATCTCTTTTCCTCTCTCTTGCAAATTTTCAACAGTAGCCTCAAGATCTTTCTTCTTTGCTAGAACTTCTTCAGCTTTTCCCTGTTTAAGAACATTGATGAAACTCAGTTTAGAAAATCCAATGTATAGCAGTGCCTAAGGAACACGTGGTAAATCACATTTGGTAACATGCAAACCTAGTTTCCCATTTTCTTGCTTTAACTGAGATAGTTTCCTCTGGGACTGGTAAATACAGCTTGTAACTAACATAAACCTGTCTTAAAAGTATACTTCATATAACTCAGGTTTTCATAACAGAACATGAACCTCAGGAAACTTCCCTATAAGGAGATGAGAACACCATGGGAATACATGGTGTTATAGCCGTGAGACCTTCCAGCAGGCTCAGACTCCTGTATGTTTTCTCTGGAAAGGAACAGCTATCAACACAATAAGCAGTGCTTCCTAGATACAGAACGCTGAAGCATGGAGGAAACATCTTCATACTTAATGCCTCTCAGACAGTAGAATAATTGCAATAGACGTGTGAAGAAAGAAACCCATACAATCTATGAAATTGCTTATTGAATCCATCATTTTGTTACACAAAAGCTTTTCACAAATTCTTATCGCCTTTCCTGGGTGGTGTCAGAAGCTTGGTTATCCTTTCAATACTAAAGTAAGGTCAGCCTTTACAAGGCTTAATTTCTAAAGGATTACTATGAAGAAAGCCAGCCACTCAAGGAATTATATTTACTGTTGAAAACTAGTTGATCCTTCAGGCTTAAATATTATATGTTTGGTGTTCACAATGAATGAGCTAATGCTCATCACACACACACACAAAGTATTTTTCAGAAAGGTTGGTGGTGAGGAAGTAGTGAGTACTAAAGATAGGGAATCTTCATGTCTGTGGAGAATGGTACTTGAATAGGCATGAATGAAGGAAGAAATTGCCAGAAATCTTGACTAGAAGAAATAAACTACATAAAATAGTAGAAAGAAAACGGCAAAATAGTCTGAAAGACAGATAAGAAAGCAACCTTAAGGAACATTAGACAGTGCTTATATGTCATATAAGGTACTCATGAGACAAGAGAGACTGCACATCAAAGATAAATGCCATGAGACTAATAAAATGAACAACAGTTACCAGTGTTTCAGACAGCTCTTCAAGTTGCATTTCTTTCTCGCGTTTTAGTTTAGTCATCTCTTCTGCAGCACGTGCAATGCAAAGTTATTGAACAGATAGTGAGAATTACAGAATTTTGGTATACAGCAGACAATAGAAATAATTAATCCTACTGCAGTACTCAGTTATCAAAACTTCTTGAATTAAGTTCAGAAATCTAAAAGCTTAATAACCTAAACTATCACTTAATCTGAATGTAGAGTTACATATATATGTTCAGAAAGTTATTAGTGAGTGTACTTCTGAACAAAAGCTACATATTGATTTGAAGTAAAATTCAGAGCTTATTATGCTCTCTGTAGCCATGGTTTCAAATATTATAGTGTGGACTGTAATTATATATACAAAGGAATAGTCTTGGTGTATTGATGTATTTGTAATTTTCTAGAAAAAAATCTGGATATGCTGAAAAAAGAATCCACTTAGTAACTAAAATGTGTTTTCTGCATGCACATTCACTTATTTAGTTGTAAGTACTGTGCATCAAGCTAATTTTTTGCTCTGTTACTATCACAGGTCACATCTCACCTTGTTCTAGACAGGCCTTTGTCAGCAATTTTTGAACAAATGTATATTCCCTCAAAACATGTACTAAGCCATGTTTCTTGTCTATCGTTAGATACATGCTGCACACTGGGCAAACTGTACCAGTCTTGGTTTGGGGGCTAAGGAGTGCCTGTCTAGAAATTAGCTTCAGTGGAAATGCAAAGTCGTGGTCTGAAGCAGTGATTGAGTGTTTGTGGGAACGCAGGGCCGAGCCAGGGGAGCTCGGCTGCATGCAGCACACCTGAGTGGCTGGAGGGGGTGGAGCCAGAATCATTCCTTCCCACACCTCATTTAAGGTTAGCAGAGCAGGTGAGCGTATCTTGCTTGAGATCCCTGCCTGTGGCCTTCTGAAGGTAAGCAGCTTCTTTATTTTTGTGCCCATGGGTGTTGCAGGTGAGCAAACTCTCACTTGCTGCAGACTAGGGCCTTGCTGCTCTGCTGTCATTGCTGTGCTTTCCATCACATTACAACAGGGTATCAAAGTAATATTTGAAGTTAACCACTGTAGGTGTGGTGTAAGCAGTCTGCAGGAAAGCCTAAGGCAGGTGCTTTGTCTCTGCTATGCACTACAGAAGTTACTCTTGGAATCTATTGTTCAGCAGCCCATCTGCTACCTCTCTGAAACTGGTTTGGAGCACTACATGTCTTAACTGGAGTAATGTGAGAAACCAAGATGACTTCCAGGAGTGACCATGCATTAAAAAAAAATGTTATTACTACTTACATTCTTTCTTTCTACAAGTCTTACCAAGCTCAGCAGACTTATTTGTGAGCTCCAATGTAAGCAGTTTTGACTCATCTTCATATTTCTTCAATCTAAAAATTACAAACATTTTCTGTTCAGTATACAGCACTGCTTTGAAAGCTTAGAGACAATAAGACTGTCATACCACAAATGTTTTAAATAGATGCCTTTTTGACAGGCAGATACATCTGTACCTCTTTATGAAAATCAGGAGGACAAGGATTTATTTTCCCAGTATTATTCAGTGTAATTTTAAAAATCACATTACATTCTCTGCTCTTAGGGTGATGTGTCAGAATATGAATTTCACCTTCATCTCCCTTTATTCTTTAGGTCTGTCATAGCCTGCAACTACTTAGGAGATTCCTTAATGCCAGGTACACAAACTCACTGTTCATTGAAAAACTCAGTTGTGATAGCATTAAAATACACATCTACAGTTCTGTTCCCATTTTTAGAAAAGTTCATTTTAGTTGCTAAGGGTTTTGTTTTTTTTTTAACATATGTATAACTTTAAAAACTACTGTTTCATTATTAAAGAACTTCTACGTTACAAGTGAGATGGCTGCTGTGTTAGTCAAGAACTGCATCCATACAAAACCAAGCAGTGCAGGGAGATCTAGTGGAGGGTTGAGGGCCATTGAAACTAGATCATCTTTAAAGTCTCTTCCAACCCAAACTATTTTATAACCATCTTTAAGGGCTAATAATGCAAATAATTAGGCAAAAGGTGTATATATTTAAAATACACACACACACACACAAAAACAAAAAACAAAACAAACAAACAAAAAAAACCACTAGACCATCACTTAGGTTTTATTCCCAGCAGCTCAGTGACCTGCTATTTTAACTATAAGAACAAACTTTGGTTGTAGACAACTTAAATTACCTATTCTGTTCTTCTTGCAGCAAACTTTTCAAATTGTAAGTAGAAGCCTTGAACTCCTCTAACATGGATGCATGCAGAGCCTTTGCTTCTTTACATTCTTCCATCTGTGTTTCTTTCTCCTGAGTGACCTGAATTAATGCTTTCATTGTACTTTGCAGTTCAGTTTCTAAGCTCTCTTGAGTAGCCTACAAAACAATTTGATTATTTACAAACATATAATGTAACAACCAGCTACAATTGCTCTGTGTGTAGAGTATCAGTAACTATTTTTGTGGTATAGGTAATATTACATATAAAATATGTAAATATAATTACAAACAAGCTATACCTCTGTTTTTCGCAATGAATTTTTAGCTTCTTCCAGTTCTGCCTTTAAATATTCTTGATTGAGCTGAGATTCCTTTAACATTTCCCCTTCATGCCCTGTGCAGAAAATACACAAATTACATTTAGGAGAATAATGTTTTCTTCAAAATGCTTTGATTTGTGTTCTGCAGATAAACGCATTCCTACAACTTAATCAAGTTGCATGATGTATTCATATCACTTTTAAGGAAAAAATTATGAGATGGTTATTCAAATTAATTAGTGATCGTATCCAAAATGTAAAATTGGTAACATTTATAAAACTTAAGAAAATACAGTCACTCGTATCTGGAATAAAAATGATACTAAACTTGCCTTTCCACTACCCAGGGAAGCGGGTACCAAAAACTGTCTCAGTTCTAAAGAACAAAGGTGCTTGTATCATATAGTATAAACATTTTGTCATATCTTTAGAAATACTGAAAAGAAAGTTCTAAGGCTTAAGTTTTCCCAGCCACACCTGATTCTAAGCATGCACAACTTGAGTATTTTCCCCTTGCAGTCTACAAAAGCTTTCATTGCTTGAATCATCCTTGAGACAAAAGAACCTTTCAAAATTATTCATACTTCTGATCTCAGGCCTTTGCCTATTTGCAGATATGATCCCATTTAAAAGCTGTAACACGTGGGGGAGTTACTTGTCCAAGGTGTGAAAATGTGTCTTGTTGAACAGAGAACACTGACGGACTTCTGAACAAATACTAGATGATTGAATTTAAATAGATTAATGTGGTAAGCAGGAAAGCACTATCATTTCCACATGTTTACTATTCAAACCAATGGAAACAGAACAATCCCAAGAGCACAGGCAGGCCTGTATCATGCCCTGGTGTATCTGTCCATACTTCTGTTCTGGAAAAGGAGAGACAGAATATATGGCACCTCTATAGCAGCATAACCGTGTGCACGCAAGGGTATATGGAAAAGCAGGAGAAGAAAAGTCCTGCACAGTGAAGTTCTCTTGTCAATACAAGAAGAGGGTGTTGTCTAAGACTGAGGAGAAGAACTTTGTTATGAAATAAGGGCCTGTATTTTATATAAAAGGAGAATATGCTACAAGTCCAGTTCACGCATCAGCAGGATCTTAATTGTTTCTAAATGAAAAGAAGATCTGCAAGATCCCAAATTCTCCTGCTAACTTCCCCAGGATGAAATCATCATCATTTCTGTTTTCCATACTTTTATAACCAAATGTATTTTAATATAGCAGAAATAATTCTTACTTTTTGCTTCTTCTAAGTCCACAATCTTATTTTTTGATTCCTGCAGGTGAGTCTTGATGTCTCTTATTACATCATCTTTTTCATTACACCTTGCAGTAAGAACTGAAATCTAACAAAATTAAAATAATAACACAGGTCTAAAAAAAGAAGATAGATTTTCATCTTTTCATTCACATATGAGTAGTAAACACACTGCTGTAATTCAAGTTAAATAAACTGGTTGGGTCTTAAAGCTCTTTAGTTCAACATCAGAACATGAATTCCAACAGACTGAAGATACCAGGATGTCACTAAAGGTAGCAGAATCTGATGCACTTACAGCTCCAACTGTTATTTTTCCATTTTTATTCATTCAGTAATGAATGCCCCAAAACACTCTGTGCATCTTTGCTGTGTCACATCTATCCTCAGGAAAAAAAAAAAAACAAACAGCAGCGCTTGACCTTCCTGTACGCCCTGCTTTTCAGTCTCTTGCTTACAAATTAAAACTGTATCACAATTCAATTTTCAATTCCATCTTCCATTACAGATGTCTCATCACTACAAATGCCTACTCCAGTCTCAGGCTCCTAACCTCTCCTACTAATGCATGGCCTGCTATGGGCTGTAGTCATTCTTCTCACCTTTCTTGCCAGCAATCAACAATACCTGCTTTCTGGTCAATTTTATACTTCTGCATAAGCTGCTTCTTTTACAGGCAATCTTCTTTGGTGCTTTGCTGTTACTGCTAAATCCCGTTGCAGAAATGTCCCTCATTACAATGCAGTAGCCAAATTCAAATTTTATTCCAAATAACTAAAGGAACACACTATCAGAATGTAATTTGCAGTATTATTTCCACCCTTCCAAACTACAAATATTTTGCAAACAAACACTTTTAGAATAACAGTAATATCAGTGACTCATGAGAGCAGATAGACATCAAATATTAATGAAACTGCAAGATTTGTGGCAAAAATAAAACTGTACATATTAGATTTTAAAACTGAGCAAACCTGCTTTTCCTTCATACTGACTTCTAGCTTGCATTCTCTTTCAAAGTTGTCCATTTTTTCTTCTGCTTCTTTTACTATTGATCAAAAATATCAAAATATCAATATTTAATATACTAGCTAAAACATACTCCAAGAGAAATACAATTTCTATTTAAGATTGCTTTACAATTGTACAACTGCACAATTTGTTTCCTAAAGAGGAATTGTTGAAGTCATTTTAGAAATACCTTTCTAATCAGACAAAATACCTTTTGTGTCAGCTTTCCACAAAATTACTCCATTACTACATGTATTTGTTAATAGATTGTTATAGGAAAAATGGCAGAAATATGCTTGTAAAAATGAGGCAGGCCCTTAGTGGTAGATAAAGCAAATACTTGATTAAAATTTCTGTACCTGCACACTAATGCATTAACATTTAAATAAACCAACCACGTAAAATAAGTAGTGATTTCCAACTGTACTGCATAGACAAAACTAAAACTTTCAGTGACTATTACAAAAATAAGGTTTCAAATCTGACCTAGTAGAAAAAACAGTGAAGGGCCCAGACACAGCAGGCATGAACAGTAAGACAGGGCCCAGACTTTCAGTAAATTAGTAATTGTATTGATGGAACAATTCATCAGATGCAAAATTTATACAAGAAGTATAAAAGAGTCTAAAAGGAAACCTGCAGTGAATTTACCTTTCCTAAGAAATTTGAAAGGCTTATCCCAAACTAAGAGAAGCTGAGGTGGTAATGAAGTCTGACAAGAGAAAGCAGTAGGCTGTACCATGAGGAAGACTGTAACTCACTTTACAGGAATAAGACTCAGGTAAGAAATAAGAGACAAGAGGTTCCTTGTCAAAGTGACTGAATTTAGCTGGTTATTTCCAACGTCTGTTCCTTTGAAGTAAATAGTGATAGAAGGCATTTATCACTCTACCAGCGTGCAGTGTGGTTTAGGACATGGTTTCAAAACAGTATTAATGGTCACAGTTCACCATTCTAGCATCCAGCCTGAAGCTGCACGCAGTAAGATCTGTGAAGCTGCAGCAGAAACACAGTAAGCACAACTCTCACATTTGAAACACATTTCCAGTCTGGTGTTCTCTGCTTGCACACGAAGCTCTTCAAATGCCACTATCATTCTCTAAAAGTAAAATTTGATACATACATTTGTGTAAAACTAGGTACTTTCAGTAATAAGGAGCAATGTTTGTAGCTTGTTTAAAACAAACAAAAAAAGCACTACTATTACACACTTATTCATGTACATATAGAAAAAAATCTGAAGTCTGAGCATAAACATACTTTGAGTTAACAGATGCTATTTTTTATGAAATTGGATGTTTAAGAGGTTTTATGTAAATAATTTCAAGGATGAGATATCTTTCTTGGTCCATGTTTTTAGATTCCTAAAATAATGAAGAAGGTGTTGTGCCTTTCTTAGTAGCTACAATGACTGATAATTAATAACTGTTATTCCATGTGCCCACTGACTCTGTTTAACATATGAAATGTATCATTGACAGTGATGTCCCATGTTGTAAGTGACATATACACGCAATCCAGATTTTCAGTGCATGCATTTAACTTGGATTACATTTGAGCTTTTTAACACACCATGTCACTTACTTCAATGTTGTTATTAAGTTCCTCATATAGTTGTCTTGTTTCTTCTCTTTCATGTTCATCTATCAAAATAAGAATGTATGATAAAGTTTTTCTTTTGGAAAAGAATGCCAGCTGTTCAAGCCATTATGCTTAAGCAGCATAGTGAATTAAAGGAAAGGAATTTTAAAAGGCTCTTTTCCTATTTAAAAAATAAAACAACACAAGCACATTATAAAATAGTGTGCCAAAAGTTATAGCTTTGTACAAGATGAAGTTTAGCACTTTCCATCAGCAGATATCCGTGAGCACAGAACTGCCATTACAGAATGTCACAATACTTCACCTTACAACGACTTCCGTTTTTGAATTGGTATTATTTTCCCTTAGGAAAACACATATAGAAGACAACAGTGAGAATCACAGCTATCGTAGGAGCACAGCAAATGCATACCCAGCTATTTGTATTTGTCAGACTGAGTTATATACTTTTTAAGGATCCAGGACAAGACAACCAAATTTTGAAGATTATCACCATGATATTGAATTTCATATAAATTAAGATCACAAGTTAACCACATTTTTAATAACCTTGAGAATTTAATTAAGTTAGGCAGCTTTCTTGGATTGCCCAATTTGGTGTGAGGAGTATCTAACTGCTCCAAACAGAAGCATACCAACTCCCAAAGTTTTTTAAGATGGCAATGATAAATAAAATCAATTCATATCTCTTTTTAAGCAGTAGAAGTGCCACCTAATATGTGTTAATATATTCAAGGTATATGGAAGGGACTGCCAAACGTGACAAGGCTTCAGGAAACCAGCACTCCTTTCCACTGGCTACCAGCAGTTAATCAGTATTGCTTGCAGTGCCTAAACTTGTAATATTTTGGCAAACATTCATACTGACTTCAGAACACCCCTGAATTCAGCATTACAAAATAGACGTGTATTCGAATTCTTGCCTTATTTCTGAACTTTACCCTGATGCACTGAACCTCATATAGTTTTATTCACAACTTAACAAGAGCTTTTTCATTCGTGAGTTTAGAGAAAGTTAGAAGCAAATTTACTTTTATGAATCAAGATTTAAACAGCATTTACATTTGGTGGACTTCTCTGTGAAGTGACTACAGGTTTCTTTGAGCAGGTTACACAGGTGTCTTGAGGCACTGTTTCTAAAAGAAGACAAATAATACTATAACATGCAGTCACAGGAATGTATGGTACTTTGTACACTTGTGTGTAACAATGTGAATGCTTTAATTAACTTTATAATTTAAGATGAATTTAACTTTCCATACTAAAGCAGTTCTCAGTAAGAAAATCTATTCTTTGCAAAAATATATTTGGCCATTACTTACTCTTTTAAAAGATCTTTATTTTCACATATCTCATCTTCCAGCTTCAAACTTAGCTTTTCATTTTCAAACTAATTTCACAGGAGACAAATATAAAATAGATTGTTACTGGAAAACATACTTAGAATATACTCTCAGTTCTCAAACCTGATATGAAAAAATTATTTATCTGCACCCAAAGACAGAAATCTGCTTTATCTGACATTACGTACCAAGACATCTTTTCTTACATCTTTTATATAATTTAAGCAATAATTCCCCAGGAACTGAAGCACTTAAAAGCATCCTATCCAGCCATGCATTTGCACACTGTGTGCATGCCTTCTCAGCAGAACCATCTTCTCAAGGCAAAAGTTAAATGACTTAGGTTAGCAAATCTAATGCAAACAAACAACAAGAAGAAATAAAAGGGCTGATAAATTGTTCAAAATATGTATTTTGGTCACAGAGCCTTGCACTGCTACCAACTAGATAAAAAACTGCTTCCTGTGTGTGCTGAGCATAGAAATATGCCTTGGCATAGTTGACACAGACCAGAAGCATGAAAGCTTATTCAGCCTTGAATGGGCTTCTGCAGCCCTACAGCATGTTGCATGTTTGAATAATCCAATAATAGAATGTGCATTGTTAAAGAAAAGGAACTATTTTGAGAAACAAAAAATGAACTTTTTCCTTTCAAAACAGTAGAACCATAAGTTATTGATTCCAAACCATCTTTAAATCATCACAAACTGTTAAAAATTATTTCTTCAACCTCTATAGCAATCTTTAACCGTATGAACAATATTTTCACACTAAGTCAGGAAGAGCTTTCTCTTTCATTTACATATTGAACACATGTTGTACAATACTGGCCTGCAATTCTTGAATGGCTTTACGCTGTGCTTCAATAATCTTTCTATTTTCTTGAAATTTTCTTTCCTTCTGCTTTAGTTCTGATTCTACAGCCAGTTTCCATCGCTTGATCTTCTCAGCCTCTTTGTACAGTTTTGAATACAATTCATTCATTGTTTCCAGATTCTATTAAAACAAGTTCCACTATTTACATCTCAAATGTTATTTAAATAATAATGTTTCACATGCACGTTTATCTCTTAGAAATATCATAACAAGAGGTTTGTTGTTGTTGTTGTTGTTGTTGTTTTCTTTCCACAGTTGGTGACACAAAATCATAAGTGCAGGAAATGATATTCATGTATCCACTGTGTCAGTATCAACAGACATCACAGAACATGTAAGGGACACAAGCACAAGTGAAAAATATCTTTCTGCCTTCAGGTACAGTGATATTGCTGAACTGATAGCTCTAAAGATATCATAAACTGCACATCACCAAAAGTCCATAAAATTTTGCTAGAATTATCAGTAGAGCCAGGATTCCTTCTGTTAGGCTCCTCATAGCACATTCCTGCTCTTGTAAGATCAGATCCTGCTAGCTTAAGAATCACAGATCTTGACACACAATGTACTCCTGCAGCTATCTCATATACAAAGTAACCAAAAGCACAGCACGCCTTGTGCTCTTAGAACATCTTCAAAGCACTGTACAGGCCATGCTTGATCAGAGGCTTAGGCAGGTAAAGAGTAGTTGCAAGTTCTGTAGGTGGGTATACTATCATCTAATGCTGTCCTGCTCTTGGCAGCATTGTAGTATTTTTACAATTCTGAACATCTAGTTCTAATATCTGCTAGGGCTAAAGAAGTTCAGCCCTCAGGGATATGAAAACTACTAAAAGGACTGCAAGAAATAAGTTCTATTTTCTTGCTGCCACCAGCATTTCCTTCCTAGGCAGCACAGAAAGCTACCACAAAAAAATTAGCTTTACTGTTATACTAAAGCAGAACATTAGTAAAAAGAACATAGAATCAAATGCTTGAGGCAACCACTCCACTAAAGATGTTGCTTTACAGATAAAGCCAGACAAGGTAACTGGAATAATCTACTTGATTTTCCAAAGGATAATCTTCACTTCAACCCTTGTGCCTTCCATTCAGATTCACAATTCACCAGATTCACAAAAATATTTGACTCCTTTAGTCTTACTATAATTGAAACTCTAAGACTTCCCAGGCACTATTGCTTTTGACTTGGAAATCCTCTTAATATCCGAAGATTTATCTGAAGGTATGTTCAATGAATTTGAAAAACTTTTCTAAGCGACATAGCTTTAAACAGGAGTCACAGAAAATAATGATTCCCCTCTCACTACATCCTCTAGCACCAGAGTATATACTTAATAATGCTTTAAATTAGGAGGCCCTAAGAAATTAAATATGTAAGGTTTATACTTAAAAGCAAAGTTTACACTTGGCTGACCTCTTCATCCACCTCAGGGCAAAGTTTTGTTTGCTGTGAAATTGAATCTGAAATGGGAAAAGATTTTCATCAATGTATTTTCAGAAAAACAAACTACAGCAAAAAGAGCAGTGTGGGTCTAACAGTATTACAACGCTGACATTATAAAACTAAGCAAAAATATGCAGTATGTATATATATATATGTATATATATATATTTTTTTTTATTAAAATAAGTGCTTACATTAGCCTTACCTGCATCAGTGATTTCACCATGGCTTGCTGCAGTTGTCATTACAAAAGGTAAATTAAAATCATCACCTGGACATTTGTTAAAACCCTGCAAAATTTAAATATTACTTTCTTACAGGTAGCTTTGCAAAGAAGGATTATAAAACTCTGAAAAATACAGCTAACATAAAAAAAAAAAAAAAGGCATTTCCCATTAATAGAGCAGCTGTCGACTATTCTGAAAGCCCAAAGGATGAGTGCTGGCTTTGGAGCTCTCCTACTTGCTTTACTTCACAGCAGCTTTTCCAACAGCTGATCTTCTGTGTGCTTTACAGACTGTGGCTAGACAAGTGGATGTTTCTAATAGCTATTGTTCATAATTGTAAAGGATAAAATGCACCATATATTTTTTTTAATATATATTTTTGCTTTATTCCCAGCAGTACTTCCAAAACAGATCAGATTAAGGTTGTTTGCAGCATGAAAAACTGACTTTACAAGGCGGTTTGAAAGTCGCAGCAATTCATCTTTTAAACAGTACAGCTCATCTCCTGTCAGGACACCATACATGAACCTAGATATGTTTACTAGGAAGTGTCAGCACAGAATTCACATAACTGCATTGCAGCATCACTTTCACTGCACAGCTGAGCTGGTGGGGCCGTTAAATCAGAGGGTAACACTGTCTATCTGTGTGTACCTCTCACAGCAATAAATGAGTGGCACCAAACACATACATTAATTTGTCATCAGTGCTGTACAGTTAAAATACACAGCTGATGGCCGAGATGCTTCCTTCTGGTTTTGTTGGGGGGAAATAGAATATTTGAAAAAAAAAAAAAAAAAAAAAAAAAAGGAAAAGCCTTTGAAATTAAACTCGAAATTGTTCACAGGCATCCCTCCAGCTTTCGTCAATTTCAGCGCATTCAGCATGCTTGTGTTCTCCCGGCTTTGCGTGGGTATGGCTCCTGCCGGGCAGCTCGGCGGCTCCGCCTCGGTTACCTGGCACGGCTCTGCGGCCCGAGCGCTGGTCTGGGGTTTGACTGCAGACACCTGACCGCCGCTCAAACGCGGCGGCACGAAGAGTTTAAACGGTTTTCCTTTTTCCATGGCTTCGAAGGAGCGAGTAATGGTTCAGAACCGGCGCCTCATCGCGGCCGCGCCGTCCGCCCCGCCCTCCCCCTCTCGCTCGGCCGCTGAGGAGAACAAAAAGGCGGGAAGCGGCGGCGCGCGCTGAGGGCGGAACGGAGGGCGGATCGCACCGCTGAGAGGAGCGCGGAGCGGCGGCGTGCGCCGTCTAGTGCAGCTCCCAGACCTCGCAGAGCAGCGCGGTCAGCCTCGGGTCCTTCGTCCGCCACGTCACCAGCACCTCGGCGTGGGTATGGTTAAGGGTGCGCAGCTGCGTCAGCCTCCCGATGAGGCGGGCGAAATGTTGCGGGTCCTCGGGATGATGGATCTTCGAGTACTTGTAGAGGATGCCCAGGAACGGCTCCTGCAGCTCTTCTACGTGCCGCTTGTTCCTCAGCAGCGGGCGGTCTGCGGGGCGCGAGGCACAGCGCGGTCACTGCGCGCCCGCCGCCGCCTGAGGGGTGCGGGGCAGCGCGGGAAGCGCCTACCTGAGAACAGCACCGTGGTCGCTACGAGCAGAGCGTATTCGGTCTCGGTGACTTTCAGTTCCCCCATGCTTCTGTAGAAGTAAAACAGCGCGGTGATGAACTCCTCGGTTATCCCTTGAAAATGGAAGAGGATCATCAGAGTGTTATTGCGTTAGAGGCAGGTGCTGCCGTTGGTTTGCCCTCTTGTTTTAAAGTGCTGGGCTTTAAAAGCACAGGAGCTCACAAACGTAACAAAAACAATTTTCATTACTAAAGTAGTAATGAAAAAGGGCTGTATTGCATGAGTTGCTTCTGCCACGTGAGGATGTGACACACTGACACGTGTGATGGAGAATAGAGTCAGCCGTGCAAAACACCTCCGAGGATTGCAATCTGAGGCCATTTTACCTGTGGTGGTGGTCGAAGTCGGACTCTCTTCACTGTGAGACATTTGAATTGAATACATGTTCTTATCAAGATTTGGAACGTGGCAGCATGTTGTGTGGTCAGAGCGTCTGATGTGACCTGGAACAAGAGAGGTGGCAGCTCGCAGCTGAGCTTAAAACAGCTGTGCACATTGGGTGTGAATCTGCTTTGGGACACATCTCTAAACTGTGCAGATTTTTGTCAGGTAGGGAAAAGGGTTGCTGTTGTTTTTGTTTTTGTTTTTCTGCATCCTACACTGGGTTCATTGGTTACATTCCAGTTGGTAAAAATCTTGTGTCAAACAGCATAACAGTAATGTAGCTAGTATTAACATCCACCGGATAATTTGTGCAAGCTCACGGAAGCGTTGCTTTTTGTTTGGAAAGGAGTAAAGCAAAACAACATTTTTAATTTATTTTTTTTTAATACTCTATGGAAAAATGCTTCTAGAAAGACAGAATTGTTCAAGTTGGAAAAGACGGTAAAGATCATCAAGTCCAACCGCAACCTGACCATAGTACCCTAACTCTAACAACCTTCCATGAGCTTTCTCTAACAGGCACTGCTAGGCCATTGTGAAATAAAACACAGAATCATAGAATCACTGAATTGCTCAGGTTGGAAAAAATCACGTCCCTGAGCACCACATCCAGGCAGCTTTTAAACACATTCAGGGATGGTGACTCCACCACCTCCCTGTGCAGCCCATTCCAGTGCTTAACAACCCTTTCTGGAAAAAAATTTTTCCTGATATCCAACCTAAACCTCCCATGGCACAACCTGAGGCCATTTCCCTCATCCTGTCAGCTGCTGCTGCAATCAGCTTTCAGGTATTTGAAGAAAGCAATAAAGTCTCCCCTCACCCTCCTCTTCCCCAGACTGAACAGCCCAGTTCCTTCATTCTCTCGTCATAGGCCATATTCTCCAACTCCTTCCCCGGCCTTGTTGCCCTTCTTTGGAGGCTTATACATATTGCTGGTGCTATTGTAAGCAGTGCTGTGCTTGAATAGTGAATTACTTCAGATTCATTAAATTGGAGATTGTATTAAAATGGCTGAACTACTGGTGTTTACAGAAAGCCTGTTAGTCCAACTTACTTTCACTTGATGACTGGCATTCATTAATTCTTTGGTTGTATATCTGAGCGGAACACAAAAACATGGCCTCAACTGTTGACCCTTTTAGCAGTGCAATTTGATCTTCACTAGCTAAACTTTCAAATCCTGCAAAGAGAGAGACTTGTTAAGAATCAAGGCTGTGGCTGCCTTTATGCACCTAAAGGACTGATTTCTATCTCTGATCTTTTAATAAATACCTTTACTGAAAAGGAGGATCCACTGTTAAAAGACATTTGTACACAAAACTATCTAATGCTCTTGCTTTTCTTCTTGCTAGTTAGCGAGCTAGAAACAAATTGCTGTTGTCAGTGTCCAGTGTATATCTTTGTTGCCTACAATGAGTTGCAAGCTGAACTGGATTTCAGACAATGTGTTAAAATGGGAATTCACTCAAGGTGGTGTTTTGAAGTCAAAGTACTGTCAGAAAAACATCTCTATTCCATGTCAGAAATTGGAGAAAAAAAAAATCAGAATAAGTTTTTGAAGAAAATGCTCTAATCTGTTGAATAAATGGTAATCCCAATTGCTAGTGTTAGATCAAGTAGTCAGTTGAATACGTTTTCTTAAAGCCTGTGTTTTTCTCACACTGATGCCATGAATACAGCTTCTGCTTCTTAAAAACAAAAAGTCAGACTACTCCATAACACTTCCCAAAGGAAGGAGTTTACCTGGGAGTCTTTTTGTGAAGTCCACTAACACCTGTACGTGGACAACTGCTGTCTCAGAGAGATGGAGAAAGCTTTCCTCAGGACTTGTGGTTTCTTGTAGCTGCATGAAAGAGCATTTAGACATCTGATACAGCCAAGATACATTGCGTGGAATAATAACAACTCAAAAACAGAGGCTGATTGCTCTGCATACGTACAAACTTCCTTGCTTCCTCAAGGGGAATTGTGTATTTTTGGTGTGCTGCTACGATGTGGTCAAGAAGTTGATGTTCCCCTGGAGTGAGTTCCACCTTCTCCACAGTCTAATAAAATAAATAAATAAACCAATCAAACTGTAATGAGTTAAGGCAAACTAAATGATAAAAAAGTTATTTGAAATAGAAAAAACTCTCACTTTTCCAGATCTTGTTGTAGATGATACATGCTTACTATTCAGTCCCTCATCTTCCAGTTTTATGTTGCAAAGTAAACTGCTCTTTTGTTTGAAATTCTTTCTGAGTCTCTTTGACTTGCACTGTACTTCAGTCAGCAAACCTGTGAGGCATGGAATTATGGATTAATGCATAATTTTTTCCAACAGATAACAATTTGAAATCATTACTGTCTGTGCATCTCAGGAGCTATAAGGAACTATGCTTCCTAGAGAACATGGAACTGTGCTGTTGATTAAGTGAGTTGGTGTTCTGTATCCACAAAAGGCCTGAGTGTTTGCAGCCTTCTTGTGTTATCTGGTTTGTGATTGGGACATACGAGTATGAGAATTTTTCATAAAGGTTTTGTGCAATTTCTGTAATGCTTAATTTTTCTTTCCAAACATGAACGCACATCTGACAAGCTTGGATAGCTGACAGCTGTCCTATCAAAGTTGAGGGTATTTAGCTGTCTCGTTAGTACTCTCTGCTTTATTTTGTAATGTCTTTGAACAACAGTCCTCTTCAGGAGCTATTTCCCAAGCATTGGTAGTTTCTGCACATGAAGATGCTGCAGGTGCTACAGACTTAAACTTTCCTAGAGCGAAATTAAGTTCAGATGAATACCATTTGGAATCACAGAATCATCTAGGTTGGAAAAGACCTTTAAGTTCATCAAGTCCACCCATCCACCCATCATTACAAGTCCTGCTGAGCTGTGTCCCCGAGTGCCACATTCACACATCTCTGCCTTCAGGGACAGTGACCCCACCACCTCCCTGGGCAGCCTGCACAATGCCAAACCACCCTTTCAGTGAATAAATTCTTCCCATCTTCCAATCTGAATCTTCCCTGGTGCAACCTGAGGCCATTGTCTTGTGTTCTGTCACTTAGCTATAATGAGATAAGGGATTGGATACAGAAAAGGACTTATCAGGAGGGCGCACTCACATTCTGCTAGCATTCCCACAGCTCTGCATTTCTTCAGGCGACATTCCTGGCACTTCCTCCTCATGTACATGTCCATTTCACAGTGACCACCATTCTTGCATCGATACACTGCGTTTTTGGTTATGCTGCGTCTGAAGAAGCCTACAGAAAAACATCAGGTTGTGAGTAAAAGAATTTAAGGAGATTTACCTCATAATTCAAAGTTTTGTTATTTTCTTGACAATGAAAGTATTACCTTGGTTTCAAATTTTCTTTGTGATGACTTAATTATGATGTGTTCTTTCTGACTAGTATTAATTACTGTTTACTTTAGCTGATCAAGATAGCTCCCATATTAATAACTGAATTAATAGCATACTAAGCTATTAAGAACAATAATTAATGATTTATAAATAAAGAACTCTAATAAATGACCATAAGACAATAAACACCCATTTAAACAAGCACTACTCCAGTGAATACTCAGTAGGAAATTCAGTATTAAATGCTCCTCTTGGATATATACAGAGAAAACATTTCTTCAAAAATGTTTTAACAACGTGCATCTGAAGGTATTGTGTGAGACAAAGGGTTCCTAGGTTAATTACAGTCCCCAGAGAAAAATCAGGTTAATGAAGTGTGTTTGTTTACATGCAGTACTGCTCTGAGCACTGTGCAGAAAGGTACAGATGAGTCTGCGCCTCTTACCTTTACAACCCTCACAAGTAAGTGCATTGTAGTGGTAACCAGATGCTTTATCACCACAGACAACGCACAGCTCTTCCTGTCCCTTCAATCTCAAAGAGGAGTGATTTAATCTGGGCCTTTTTAGTGCTTGAAATCCACTGTCATCAGGGTGGGAAGCCATGAAAGGAGGCTTGCTTAATTCGCAGTTACTGATGATGTATTGCCCATCAGTGTACTGAGAGTCCAGGCTGTATGGGCTGTACTGGGACTGCGAAG